CGCCAGGGGACATCAGCCTCCAGCTGTTCTTCCCGTTGCTAGGTCTTCGGTGGTGAGGTTTCCGTACATCCAGGGTGGGGAGCTGTAGCTGAGACACCGGGTGGTCCTCGTCTGTGTCCATGCCCACGAGTATGGAAGCAACCACCGTCTCAGCAAACACTCCTGAAAATGACCTTACTTCAAACCGCCCAACTTTTCTAGTCCTTGCGATAACAGACACAGAAAATCAAGTCTGTGGGCATCAACATTAAAACCCACTGAAACCCACTTCCGTCATCCAGCCCAACTCACAGCACCCCTAAAGGACAGAGTGGAACTGCCCACAGGGTCTCCAAGGCTGTCAGTCTTCCTGGAAGTAAAGCCCAAACCACACCCACTGCCTGGAGTCCATTCTGACCCACAGCGCCCCTAGAGGACAGAGTGGAACTGCCCCAGGGGGTTTCCAAGGCTGTCAATCTTCAGGGAAGCAAAGCCCAAACCACACCCACTGCCGTGCCCCTAGAGGACAGAGTAGAACTGCCCCACCTTTCTCCCATGGAGCAGCTGGTAGGCTTGAACTGCCAACCTTTCAATTAGCAGCCAAGCACTTAACCACCATGCCACCAGGGCTCCTTATTTGTATCCAAGGTCTGGGCGACTGAACAGTGCTCCCATTGTTTTACTGCAGCCAGCACGTCAACCTTTCTTTATTGCTGCAGAAAACTCAAGAGCCCTGTAGAGGGCAATAAAGCGAGATGTAGTGCTGCAATGTTTCAAGGACCCTGATTTAGAGTTAAGAGCCGGGCACCTTGCACACCAAACCTGAGCTTGGTAATTACCTCGTGTTTGTGCAGACTCTAGACGGCAGCGGGGGGATCTGGCCACACACTGAGCTGCTGCCAGTGGGGCTAGGCCTCCCCCACTGACTCCTGCAACCCCAGTGACGTGGCGAGCAGAGAAGGGGTGGCAAGTGCCTGTGGCCTGCCGCACATGTGATACCCGTCAGCTGTCACAGGTTCCCTACAACAGCCATGGCCTCAGGCTGCTTTCTGGAATCTGTGAGTCCCATGAAGGGTTTATAGCAGGAAATGTTTAGACATCTTTATCACACTTAAAAATGAATGCCGTAGTCTTGGCACTCAGAGAGCAAATGTTGTGTCTTCCTTGTGGGGGTTCTCCTTGCCGGCGCAGGCAAAAGAGCCACTCGATTTGCATGAATAGCTGCTCTCCGGGCTGCAGCTGAAGCACATTCCAGATCCCGCTTCAGAACCAACCCACACGGGACGGCAGCACCACCAGTCCACGCACGTCTCTTCCGAAGCACTCGAGAGGCAGGGACTTTCCCCACCTCCCAGGCCTCAAAACAACCCCTTGTCAGAAAAGCACCTTGATGTCCACCCTTCAGATCCTACCAACTTGAATCAAATGGTCCCAGGCCACAGACAGTCTCTCCTGAGACGGCCACAGCTGGTGCCTCTGCTCACCCCGAGAGCACCCTTCCAAGGATCATGGGGAGGTAACTTCTTAATTGTGTGTGATCCCACCTTCTGTCTTTGTGTGTCTTGTCACCTACCCGTATATCAATGCTGCCTGCCTTCCATCCTGATGCCATGGAGGCTTGCTCTTAGGCAGAAATGTGGATCCTACATTAGAAGGTTCCATTTGGCACCAGCTAGCATGGACTAGCTGATTCCTACCAACCTGATCTAACAATAAGGTTAGCCATAAGCCAATTCCTGGCACTCAAAAAAAACTCAACATCGTACCAAATGGAAAAAATATGAAACAGAGGTATTCCGAAAGACCGTATTTTCTGAAGTAATGATCCTTCAAAAGGAAGAAGGTAAATAAAACAGCAAAGATGCATTCTATGCAAAACACACCTGGTAGACCTGAAGGTACCTGGTCACACCCTCCCTTACACAAATGTTATCCAGTAAAACCGAAAGGCCCAGTCACACCCTCCCTTACACAAATGTTATCCAGTAAAACCGAAAGGCCCAGTCAAACCCTCCCTTACACAAATGTTATCTAGTAAAACCGAAAGGCCCAGTCAGACCCGTGAGAAGGGCAGAAGCATATGAGTCTGAGGCATTACTTTAAATCAAAACACTACTGACTGTCAACCCTCTAGGGACAGACAGCATCATGTCCTCTGACCTTGCAATGAGTGACTGTACCACATGGGCTGCATGTTGGGCTGGGCTGCTCTCACAGAGTGACTGTCCAGCCCCCTCAACAGTTCTCAGAGAAATGGTTTCCACCACTAACACCAGCTTCCTCAAGTATTGGTAGAGGAAGGAATACAGCCTCACACATACACATCAGGAAAGCTGTATATCAGGGTTGTATCCTTTCCCCATACTTATTCAATCTGCATGCTGAACAAATAACCTGAGAAGCTGGACTACATGAAGAAGAATGTGGCATCAGGATCAGAAGACTCATTAACAACCTGTGATGTGCAGATGACACAACCTTGCTTGATGAAAGTGAAGAGGATTGAAGCACTTACTGATGGAAATCAAAGACTACAGCCCTCCGTATGGATTACACCTCAACATGAAGAACATAAAAAAATCCTCAAAACCAGTCCAATAAGCAACATCAGAAAAACAGAATCATGCTTCAAGTTGTCAGGGATTTCATTTTTCTTGGATTCACTATCAACACCCATGGAAGCAACTGTCAAGACATCCAACAATGTACTGTACTGGGCAAATCTGTTGCAAAGATTTCTTTAAAGTGTTAAAAAGCAAAGATGTCACTTTGAGGACACAAGCGTGCCTGACTTTTGTCAGGCCATGGTATTTTCAATCACCTCATATGGATGCAAAAACTAGACAATAAATAAGGAGGACAAGAAGAATCGATGCCTTTGAGTTATGGTGTTAGCAAGAACATGGAATATACCATGGACTGCCAGAGGAACTAACCAATCTGTCTTAGAAGACCTACAGCCAGGATGCTCCTTAGCAGGGAGGGGATGAGCCTCCATTTCATGTACTTTGGACATGTTATCAGGAAGGACCCGTCCCTGGAGAAGAACGTTATGCTTGGTAAAGTACAGCGTCAGCAACAAGAAGATCCTCAGTGAGATGGACCCACACAACGGCACTCCATGGGCTAAGATGGATCCACACAACGGCACTCCATGGGCTGAGATGGACCCACACAACGGCACTCCATGGGCTGAGATGGATCCACACAACGGCACTCCATGGGCTGAGATGGACCCACACAACGGCACTCCATGGGCTGAGGTGGACCCACACAACGGTACTCCATGGGCTGAGATAAGCCGACACAACGGCACTCCATGGGCTGAGATGGACCCACACAACAGCACTCCATGGGCTGAGATGGACCGACACGACGGCACTCCATGGGCTGAGGTGGACCCACACGACGGCACTCCATGGGCTGAGGTGGACCCACACGACGGCACTCGATGGGCTCAGACCCAGCAATGACTGTGAGGCCGATGCTGGACCAGGAAGTGTCCCGTTCTGTTGGTTCGTCCTGTTGTGCACTGGGTCGTGAGGAGTCAGCGCCAACTCAATGGCACCTAACAACACAGCATCAAAATCTCTCTCTGCTCCTTACCCAGCCTCCAAGTAAACACACTGCGCTCGCAAGAAAACCACCTAGAGGTAACACGTTTGATGAAGGAAAGGTCAGCGTCTTTAGGCACATATCAAAATAACCACTTAGAAAGCACATTTCAAAGAATGAAAGCCTATTGTTATTGATTTGATGAGCTGGGCACACAAAGCACAAAGACACACGCTGGGATGGAAAGCAGTTCCCCACCAATCAGCCACCCCACGGCCAACCACAAAGACCAACAGAAAGCATTAAGGGTGCTCTGACAGGCAGGGACCAATTCGTTTCTGACTCTACTCTTCCCTTTAAAAAACCAAAAACCAAACTCACTGCCATCGAGTCGGATCTAGCTCATAGCAACCCCTCCTTGGGTTTCCGAGGCAGTATCTCTATGGAAGTAGATTGCCCAATCTTCCTTCTAAAGAGCGGCTGCTAGGTTTGAACCACCAGCCTTCTGGTTAGCAGTCAAATGCCTTAGGCGCTATGCCAGCAGAGCTCCTAGAATATAAATAATGTACAAAGAACTCCTAAATGCCACACTGTACAGATCAATGATGCACATACTGAAATCCCAAGCAGGCAAGTGCTCACAAGGTTCTATGTGTCATTTCTTCCCATTAGACTTAGATCCCAAAATGAAGAGTGAAACTCACAGGAGTTCCACAGTAAGGACCCCATTCGACCTCTCTCCTGCATCATGCTAACACCCTCTGTGGTCCACACAAAGGTGGGCCAAAGGGTGCCTCCATAACACCCAAAATCCTAATTTTCTATTAAATGTACTAAACCCCCCAATCAGCTATGAGTAAGGCTATAGGAAATATGTCTTTGGATGGTTTACGAATAGCTTAAGGCCTTAAAGGCCGTTCGACACAGTTACGTCCATGCAGCTCTTCCTTACAATAAGCTGAAAACAGATCAGCCCAGTAATTGGTACCTGGCTCCCTCAGAGCCCTTACTTTTGAATCAAAGAGAAAGCCCAGAGTAGGTGGCAGCTCTCAAAGGCCAGGCGCTTTTTCCCTTAACTGACTGACAGCAGTGGATGGGAGGAGCGGCGCCAACTACCTGGGCTGCAGTAAAGTTACTGAACGCACGTTTCCTGTGCAAAAGTAAGGCCACGGCTTGAGTCACACAGAAAGTCCTTCTCCTTTTTTGAAGATTCTGGAGGAAAATTTAAGCAAAATAACTAGCAAACCACCAACCCTGACTCGGCATGCTGCCTATGCCGGCACCGGGAGGCTGTGTGTGCGCATGGAGCCTCAGAAAAAAGATGGGCTTGCAATGGGCACAGCCCACCCCCGTCACAGGAGGTAGACGCTGGTACCAGAGTCCTGTTCCCATTCAAAGGCTGCTTAGAGTAGGGGAGGAAAGCCTCCCTGTCAAAAAGAAACGGGAGGCAAATGAGCAACACTTACCCGTGGCTGCCAGTTCTCATACTGCTTCTGTAAATTCGCACCAATGGTTTCCAGAGCTTTCTGAGGGCCCATTGACAGGGGGTCTGAGGAAGCAACGAGAGAGAGAAGGTTCTTAACACATGCATTTGCTCCTCTGCTAGCCTCTGCTGCTCAGTGCCCTTACATTCACGTCAAAGTCACCTTGGATGGAAGACCACACAGCACGGCCTGAGTTTAGCCATGGAGGCCAGATGTACCACCTACTAATGCTCCCAAACACAGTTCAAACCCCAACAGCTGCCACCTCACCTGGGCAAACTGGCGTCAATCAGATCCCTGGTTGGCCGATGGCCCTCCGTCCCTGCTGGTTGGTATTTCAGTACCTGCAGTTCCGTTCCTTTCTAACTACCCGACTCTTTGCTCCGGTCAAGCCTCGTGTGACACGGCCAGGGGCTGGGCCTTCCCAGACATGTGCACGCTGAGCTTCACAGTGAGAATACAGATCCACTCCTCGCCTTCCAACTACAGCTCTCATGCACAGAGGAGCAGGGTGGAGGCAGAAGGGACAACGAGGCAATACGTTTACAGTAATTTTCTTTCAGTCCCAGACAGTTCTTTGATGGGGGGGAGGGAGGAATCATTTTACCAACAAACTCACTGCCATTGAGTTGACTCCGACTCATAGCAACCCCCACTGGGCTTCTGAGGCAGTACATCTTCACGAAGTAGATTGCCCCTCTTCCTTCCAAGGAGTGGCTGGTGGGTTTGAACCACCAACCTTCTGGCTAGCAGCCAAATGCCTTATCCACTACGCCACCAGAGCGCCTACGTACACATACGTTACAAACATACATACGTACATGTTTGTGGTTACCAGCATGCATATATGTTTATAGTTACCAGCATACATATATGTTCATGGTTACCAACATATGTATGTTGACAGTTACCAACATACGTATATTTACAGTTACCAGCACAAGTATATGTTTGAGGTTACCAATGTACATATATGTTTATGGTTACCAACATACATGTTTATGGTTACCAGCATACATATGTTTATGGTTACCAGCATACTAAATGTTTGTGGTTAGCAACATACATATATGTTTATGATTACCAATACATACATATGTTTATGGTTATCAACATACGTATGTTCATGGTTTCCAGCATGCGTATATGTTTGTGGTTACCAACACATGCATCCATTTATGGCTGATTCATTTATCTCAGGAGTGTAGAGCAAACTGCTCGAGGCCAGCTGTTTCCATGTCTGTTTGGACCCAAATCTGTACAGAAGAACTCCAAATAATTTAGAATGAACTCACTATAGACTCACCTCCAAGAGGTGGAGCCTAGCTCCCCACCTCAAGTGTGCTGAGCACGTGTGGAAGCGGGGAGTAATTCACAGTGGAGACCCTGACAAACATGACCCTGGCCAGGCAATCAGGTCAAAATCCACGGTGGCGAGTCATGTTGGCGTACTATGATACAATGAGGATGGTACTTCCCCAAAACTGCACATAACAGCAGTAATATGCAGCATTACCAGTCTAATCATGAGAAGCACCAGACAAATCCACCAGAGAGGCAGCCACAAAACACCCAACCAGCACTCTCTCAATTGATCGTCATCAAAAGCAGAGAAGGTCTGAGAAACTGTCCCAAGCCCAGAGGAGGGGCAGAGACGTGACGACAACTCAATGCAACCTGGCCTCCGGGTGGGATCGCAGGGGCGGGGGGATTTTAGGTAGAACTAAGGAAATGTGAATTAATATGGACTTGGATTAATCCCCGCATGTTACTGCTTGTTCACCAGGTGTGACAAGTGTACCACAGGAACATTATTAACACTGGGGAGACGGGGGGGTGTGTGCAAGAGCTCTGTAATATTTTTGCAGCTTTTCTGTGAAACTGAAACTATTCTAAAATTACAATCTGATCTTTTTTTTTTTTTTAATTAGCTCCATCTACCCTCTTTGCCAGTTTCCGCAGCACCGGGGCCCGCCCACCCTGCAGAGCGGCCAAGGGGCACAGAGGCTAGAAATAAGAGGCTGAGGTAGAAAGGGACAGGGAAACAGCTGGTCTGAGCAGACAGACGGCCTGGGCCTTCACCAAGACTGCACAGCTACAGAAAGCACACAGGTGGCAGGTGACAAGAGCCACTTTATCAGGGAGACTAGTTTCCGACCCTGGGTTTACAAGGGGAGGGGGCCACCTGGCCAGCATCTGGGTTTCAGATCAGAGAGCATCAAATCAGAAACACTAAGAACTTCACCCTCTTCAACTTGGGAAAGCGCCAGCGCTGGATGGCGAAGGCCACAGAGCTGGTGAGGGTCAGAGCTGCCTCTTTGCAAGACTTGGGGCTCACCATCAAAACCAGGGCTCAGACAGAGGGAAAATGAACAGACTGAGGATGAGAAGGTAAGCGTCTGGAAAAATCCGAACAGCAGACAGTGCCAGGAAGTTCCATGGGCAAAGAACACAGTGTCGAGAAAGCTGGCAGCAGGAAGCCTGCAATGCCCCCGCATCTGGAGGCAGGACCCCGGCACTGAGCTCCGGAGGCCAAGCAGCAAGGCCCCAGCCCCCACCCAGGACGCCAGGGCACGAGACCGTTCTCAGAAGGCCCTGGGCTAGGGCGCTGAGCCACCGACTCTGGTAAACAGTCTGGAGCTACGACAGGCAGGCTCCTGTCAAGACTGACATGATACTAGTGTCTCCAACCTGACGGTCATGACAATCATCTGGGGAGCCTGTAAGCCATCAGCCGGAAGCCAGAGAGCCCACGTTCCGGGGGGGGGGCACCCCAGGAGGCTTCATCCCTGCCCTGATGCTGAGAGCGGAGTGCTCACAGCACGGCATCCTTTGGCCCACTCTGAGCCACCTGGCTTCCCGCCATGCTCCTCCAGGGCACTTTCAACACTGCCCGTGGCCCTACTTCCCACGCCCTAATCAAGCTCATACACTCCTGCTTCCACCCTCCGACCCCGGACCTCTCCGGGGAACTGAAACATCACTCACCCTCAAATCCTCCCTCTCCAGCATGTGTCCTGGCCACCCCTTGCCCTCTCTTTGCAGTGCATGGTCTCTCTCACTCATCAGCTGGAGGGTTTCCAACACCAAAGTCTAGCCACCTGAGTCTCTGGGTGCCTGGAGACTGGGCAGCTTGGTTCTCCAACCAGAAGGTCCAACTGCCCTGCTCTCTGAAGCAGATTGAACTGCGCTGCCCAGGCCATCACCGCGTCTGGGTCCCACAAGACCATGCAAACTCCTGAGCGCTGGCAGCTCGTGCTAATTCACCAACTACTGGGCCCTTCTTGGGGAAGGGAGGGCGCGACCCAGTGCCAGAGCAGAAGTCACCACCCAGCATCCCAGCTGGGCCACCCAGTGAACGGATCCCTGGACACAAACCCGCCAATGCTCATCAGGCTCCCTGCGTGCCCAGCACCGAGCCCCACACTGGCTCACCCAAAAGCACACCTTGGAGAAGAGTCAGACGTGTCCCAAAGCCTACAATGTCTTCAGTGATGTCTGGCACAACCTAAAAGGCTTGGGAAAAAAGCCTCTCAAGAGTCAGCAACAAGTTCCTGAGAACCCAAGGTACCAAAAGGGGAACAGCTGTGCTGCCACCAGCTCTCTCTCCGAGCAAGTGGCCAGGGTTGGAGAGCTGGAGCTTCTGCACCAAGGTGAGGTGGACCTTTCTGATTGGCTGCTGACCCCCAGGAGCCTCTAAGCCAGAGAAGCCTGAGGATGGCAGCTGTGACCCCAGTGAGACGCTGAAACTCTTGTTCCAGGTTTTCCAGGAGTCCAATAATGCAAGTCACTGGCTCGTCAAGCCCAACTCCTGGACCAATGTCAGGGCAACCAGCCCAAAGGTGTGTAGATTGAAAGCCTGGGCAATGCAAAGTGCCTGAGACCACCTGGAGGCATCGTCCACCCCCAGCACAGCTCCCATGGACTGGCTTGTCCAGAAGCATCAAGAACCACATAAAGCAGAGGACATGTGCAGAGCCAATGAGCCCTGCCCAGCCTTGGCAGGGCATGTGCATGATGAAGGCTGTGAGAAGGAGCTCTGTGCACACGGCTTCTGAGAAAGAAGGAAAAGATGAAGGCAGGATGCCCGTAGACCCCAAAGCTGGGTGTTCTGGTTCCCGAGTGCTGCTCTGACGAGTATATACCACAAATGGGATGGCCTCAACAAACAGGAGTTTATTCACTTACCATTCAGGAGGCTAGAAGTCCGAGTTCCAAACGCCAGGCTCAAGGGGCTATGTGAAAGCCCCTCGACCTTGGGCTTCAGATCTGCCTCTTGCTCCCAGCCCACTGAAGCTACAGGCATCTCTTTACTCAGCTACTGGCTATTGAAGCTAACAAGCCCAAGGCTGACAAATAAAATGGCACAGTCCCAATGTTACGAAACCACACGGCAGGCCATTAATTCAAGTCCATTGGAAGTCCCAAGGTCGGCAGAGCATGTCAGGCTGCTGAACAACAACACGGCTATATGCAGGGTCCAAGCATGCCACAGGCTGGAGACCATTCCCAAAGCTGCTTCTTACATATAGAAAGCAGACCACATACCCAAAGGCAGCTACCCAGCTGCTCCCAAAAGAGTCCACCATGGAGCTGTTGACCAGTCTCATCACAGGGAGTACTACATCCAGCGGCCCAGCCACTCAACAAGGCCCAGCCAAGTTGACACACAAACTTAACCACCACACTGGGCTTGAGACGCTTAAAGGTCCCTGAATTTGTGGCTTTGTCCTTCCAGAAAAGGGTCAACAGATCAAGCTAAGGCCCTAAACACCAAAGCTCCTGCTAGAACCTTCTAGAACGGCTGGCTCTGTCCAAGTCCTTTGTCAGGGTGGCTCATCGGACCATCGTGCCAAGAATGCCCAATACCAAGGGCAGAGCTGGCAAACAAAAGCTCATGAGCCCATGGCCACTCCTCACTGCCCCCTTAACACAGCTGACTGGGTCTTGCAAGAAAGAACACAGGAAACCTCAGCCAGGTGTCCTCTGGAGAAGGTAAGTGGCTGCTACTCGGAAAGGTGACCAGGAAGTATTACTGGACTCACCCCCACAGGGGGGACATGAC